GTGTTGGTTGCGATCGGTGGCAGTGATGTGGTTGTGTTGGGCCACAGATTGGGCCACATTTGACACATCACTGTCCGAGACGTTGATCACTGAATCGCATCCATTCAACACCAATAACACCAATGATATGACGATTGAAAGGATTATTTCATTCAATTTCATCTCATTTTACGGATTCAATCATTTGTAGGACATTTGTTGTATTGACTAACAACTAATTTAATTAACAAATCAATATTAAATTAACATATTATCTAATTTATTGTGTTAAATACCACTCATGTGTTAACATTACATTCAATACAGATTGTCTATATTTTTTGTTGAATAAACTTATATGTGATTTCTAGACGTACTTTCTAAGCGAAAAATACCCAGAAAACTAGTTACCCAGAATAAAGGTACTTACGGTATACAGGAGTGTATTGTACAGCGAGTCAGCACTCTATACAACACTAAACACTACTAAACACTATAGCGATATGCGATAGTATTGTAGTCACCAAACACTACACACACAGCACTCACACACTCGCACTGTCAACCATTACTACACCTTCGCTGTACATTCACAGCGTTGTAACGAACGCGCATTCAGTACAGCACTGCCACTACACCACTGCCGCTATACTGCTCTCTATATTGCTCTGCGCTTTCACTCCTTTCGGCCACGTTTTTGCCCCCACTTTACACCTCAAGATGGACCTACTTATACACCCCCTCCCCCCTCAACACCACACCACCCATACATTACGACACCCGCACTCCCAGCACACACCTAACCCCACTCCACGCACCCCTCCTATTGTCTGTCCATTTCAGTCGCGTTATAACACAATTGATTTGTTTTAATTAAATCATTTAAAAGTTTGCATTCAATTCAATCGTTTCGTTGCGAACCATATTTCGAGACTTGTATTTATTTGTGACGTTATTTGTGGTCAAATGAATGCAAACCCATTGTGTACTCAATTACGTCCGACAATTGGTGTTAAAAGTGTCCCCTTTTATGCCTCGCATTCAATTTAATGCCAATTCATTGATATTTATTTCAAATGAAAATGTATTGCAATTAAGACTACTATTAGGATTGCATTGATAGCCTATATTAGACCACAATTTGACCATGGTCGGCCAGATGGGGTGCATACATGTGCAGGGGTGGTCATAGGGGGTGACAGGGGGTGATGCGGTCAAATAGGGTGGTCTATGTGTGTCCAGTATTGGATGTATTGGATGTATTGGATGTATGGCATTGAACTTTAGTGGCGTAAGTATTGAGTGCCTGTATTATGGGTTCTTGGAGTGAATTCTGTGGCAATTCTGCGCTCACTTTATCTCACATTCAGTCACACTATCTGTCAATGAAATGCAGTATTGTTTCTATGGTTACGAAAGAGGGATAAGCAGTGGAAATGGGGTTTGAGTTGAACACCCATTCAGCCTATCGGACACCGCTTTCACTCTGAGTCACCAAAATGTTAATGTTTTGCCTAAACTTCACTCATAAAGTATGTCTTCAAATGACAAACAATTTGTGAATCAATATAACAATTATATGAATAAAATGTCTTTACATTTGAATTATTAAAAATGTTTAATCGATTACAAGACACGCAAAGAGTGACACAACACGAGTCCAGACAACACGTGATTGTCATAAGCGGTTCCAATCGTGTGGACAATGTGTGACATAATTGATGGTAAAGTGAGTGACGTTTGGTTGAGTAATACTGTGTTTGTTTGTGTCGTCCATTGGTTTTTGGATAACGAGATAATTAATTACACGTTAATTATCACCAGAAATAGATCCACACGAATGGCAGACAATGTGATGGTAAGGCGGGAGTCGTGGGGACTATGAGATAATGTTTGAGAACATGTGTGATGTGAACGAGAATTGTGTGAACAATGGATTCAATTGCTATCCATTTGTAACTCACAAACCGATCGATACATGCATTGATGGCACCAATACTGACGCCAATGACTACTATAGCCGTCACTACAATCGACAGGACATCTACCGATTGGTGACCACAAGCACTGCTCCCCCACCGCCTCCACAATACGACCGCAATGGCGACCAACCCATAGACCCGATGGAGACCTCACCGGACAACAGCTGCCGCCGCCGACCAAAGCCCGCCGTTTACAACATGAACCAAATGCCTGGCAGTGGACGGACGCCACTCACGCCGGAGTCACCATCGGTTGATCCAAAGAAACCGGTTTACGTCTATTATCCCAACTATTCTCTTCCAGATCTCAGTTTTTTACAACAAATACTTGAAGACCATTCCGAAAGTGGACAACAAAAGGTCTATTTGTCGCCCACTAGTCATCAACGGCCGGACAGGGACTCGGTTTCGGTCAAAATGCGACAAAAGTCTTCGTCCAATGGATCCAAACGACGGCTCAAGTCATTGAACGATTTCGAGAGCTTTTGTAAACAAAACTTACAGCACATCAAGGATTGGGATTCGCTTAATATACTTCTGCCCAATGAGTTCAAAGAGCTGATCCAAAAAGCCAACGATGTCTCCAATAGTACCATAAATGAGATGAGTTGTGACTCTCATATCAGTGAAGACAGTCTGGAGTCGGACACCACGCCATCCAATAGCGTACGGATGCGCTCTCATCGCAGTCGAAGTCGTAATAACAACAGTAATACAAACAAACGATTATCACTACAAGACTACCAGTACTCGCGATTGAGTGGACAGCAAAGCGCGTGCAATACAATGAGTGCCGGCAATGAGACCAGTTTTATGCACCGAAGCGTAACAATGCCTAACTGTCACAACTCGTACGCCCGACGCCAGCACTGCTGCCATAACTCTTGCAATTGTCATCAACACTGTTGCCACAACTCATGCCATTGTCGTCAGAGCTGTTGCCATAACTATTGTCACTTGAGTCACACATGCGGTGACCGAACGCCCCGACACTCACCCGACAAGTCGTCGAACAAGACATCCAGTGATGACATGAAGAGCAGTTCGATTGACAAATTGTGCCATATTTTGGCCACTGATCTGAGTCTGGATTTAAGTAGTTTTGATATGGATCTGAGTCTCGATATGGATCTCACTTATGATATGGATATTAATGGACACAACGGTTGGTCTAATGGGATGAACGCCGAGAAGAATGTGCAAAGAATGACACAAAATTCCAACAATTTGGTGACAAACGAGAATCGCAGAAATGCTGCCAAAGAATTGGCTCAAAAGGGATCACCGGACGGATCCAATTTCAAAGAGTTGAAACAGCGCTGGGAATCGATGGCAACTGTGAGTCCAAAGGAAACAAAGTCGTTGACAAACAGCCCTAACAATGGACTCAATCGTAAAGTAAATAATATTAATAACAATATTAACAAAATGAACGCAAAAGAGGTGTCAAAGAAAACGAGCAAAAGTGGAGTCAAACCGGAAACTCCTCGAAAGCCAGATGTGGTTCTTCGACGGCCTAAGACTTCGTCTATTCCGCGGCCGACATCACTGAATACAGAGAATCCGAAACGTAGTCAACGCAAGTCAATGATTCCGGTGCCCACTGGAGGACAAACCAAATCTCCAGTCTATGCTAAAGTCAAGTCAAGCACCGGATTCAAGCCATAAATGCATAAATTATATATTATTTGCGGTTTTAATCTATTCTATACTCTATTCTAAACATAATATCTATTGTATTGTCTCTTAACTCTCAAATGTCTTATCAAATCAATTGCTTGCGTATTGTTTTACATTTGTTGACCACTTTTTGGCGATTAATTATTGATTAGAAACAGCGGTCACTAAATGTTAAATGACTATCAATTGAGTAATTATTAGACGTTTGATTGTGTTTATGGTTATCACTGAATCTCATATTTGGGAAACTCATGAAAAGTCTTAAATCTATTCTATTGTAACCGTATTTAAGTATTGATTTACTTTTGTTATGTTTTGTTGTTTTCTACCAATGAGTGCAATGAAAATATTATAGTTTATTTTGAAATCATTTGTCGATATTAAGCATTAACTGCATTGCAATCCAAATAACCGGTTATTCAAAGGATATTTAATATTTTAATTATATATTAATGTAATAATTAATTTAATTGACAAATTATATAATTAATATAAGTTATGAATTGTGGTTATAACTAGTCTTTTACTAATTTTTTATACTTAAGTTACTATTATTTTTTAATTTTAATAATTGTTGATAATTTTGATTATAATTTACAAATAACTAACTGTGGTTAAGATTCAAACATATAATTTATTTTTAAGTTTATAATTATAATTTAATATAATTCTATGTTTATAATAATTTAATTTAAAACAAAAAATACTTAATTTAATGATAAAATACAGATCTTTTGAGATAAAACATCAATTAATTGTAAACAAAACAGATTTGACTATAATTTTCTCATAAATAAAATCCATTTAAGATTAGAATTGATTCGACCTTTCAATTGATTATCTAATGCTATACTATATACTCGATTCAATCAATACATTTAACACATACACTGACTCTGATTACATATATAGCGATCGGACACTGCATTTACTCGACAACAATGATTCGGAGGGTATTCGTAGAACCGGAACCCTTACGCCATCCGGTTATCAACACAACCGTATCGCCCGACTTAACAGCGCCTCTCTTTTTGCCGAACTCGACGGCTTCCTTGAGTCGAGTGTCCACGTCATGCATCCAATCCTCCGATTCGTCTCTTTGTTTGTTGTAATGGAAGGGCAGAAGACCTCTATATAAGTGTGCCTGACGTGTGGTCTGGGCGTTGCGCGACACCGCAATGATGGGACACCGGGGCCTATACTTCGACACTTCGTAAGCCGTTTTACCGCTAGTGGTCAGCACTACAATGGCTGCTGCGACCGATTTGAGGGACGCGTTCACCGCTGCAATCGCTATAGTGGTGGTCGGATCCGCCGGCGATCTTGTCTTGTAACTCAACTCATGAAAAACGTGCTTCAATTTCAATAACAATAAGTTAGGAATTTAAGCTTAAAAACCAAAATTCAGCGCAAAATGACAGACCTTTGTATACATAGCAGACTCGGCCTCTAAGCTGATGGCGTGCATCATCCGTACGGTCTCGAGCGCGTACTGGCCTTTAGCCGTCTCTCCCGATAACATGACACAATCGGCGCCGTCTAACACAGCGTTGGCCACATCGGATACCTCGGCTCTGGTAGGCCTGGGTTTAGTGACCATACTCTCCAACATCTGTGTCGCGCAAATGACAGACTTTCCGGCGACGTTGCACTTCGAGATCATCATCTTTTGCGCCAAAAACACTTTCTCGGCCGGGATTTCAATGCCGAGGTCTCCGCGGGCGACCATAATGCCGTCACTCTCGGCTATTATCTCGTCAATCTTCTTGACGCCCTCGTGATTCTCCACCTTTGATATGATTTTTATATCTTTCCCGCCCTTCGCCTCCAGAATCGCACGGATTTCCTTAACTCCGGCGCCGTTTCTAATAAATGATGCAAATATCATATCCACGCCATTCTCGACCCCAAACTCCAGATCTTTTTTGTCTTTTTCTGAAACGGCGGGCAAATCAACGATAGCTCCGGGAAGGTTCACACCCTTCTTAGAGCCCAGTTTCCCTCCGTTCTCCACCTCACAGATCAAATGATCGGATCCTTCAATCATATCAACAACAGATATGTATTAAATCGCACGCCATATGAGTGCCGAGTGTTTGAATACATACCGACTTCTTTCACGGCAAGTGAGATGAGTCCGTCGTCAACGAAGACTCGATTTCCGGGAACTAATACTTTTGTAATATTCTTATAGTCGACAAAAATCACATCTTTAGAGCCTTTCTTGTCGAAGGCCTCATCGGTGGTCACTTTAATGGTTTCGCCTTTATTTAACTCCACTTCGGCTGACGGGCCCTAAAACACAGTATAATCACATTATCAACACTTGTCAGAGAATTGGATCGCAAAATACTCACGCCTTCCAAAAGACCAGTTCTTATTTCGGGTCCTTTGGTGTCCAAAGCGATGGCCACCGGATAGTTAGCGATCCCGAGCTCTCGGCTCGCCTTTTCGGCTGCCATTCGCACGTTATCGATGGTCGCCTTATGATACTAATGGACACAATCACATCACAGTTATTGTCACATTCAATGATTCCAACCAAATGCTGTCATACAGACCGCATACTCTCCATGTGAGAAGTTCATGCGCGCGATCACCATTCCGGCCTTAATCATCTCCACCAATGTGTCCACTTTCTGCGACGCCGGACCTGATATACACATCCAATAGTTAAGCAAAGAAGTGCTTTAAATGACGGCCAAACTCACCGATAGTGCAGATAATTCCGGACAAACGGATGGACTGAGGCTTGGAGTCGATGTCGAGTGCGCTCAAGTGGTCGAGCATAGAGTCGGCTTCGTTTGCTTTCGACTGATACGGGATGTGCTCTGAAGGGCTGTTCATCTTCTATGCGGTTTAGTTCACGATTTAATTACTGGTAATAAAAATGTTTAAAATAAATATTTTAGAGGAAATTATTGTAAGAAAAAAATGAGGAGAAAATGTAGAGAAAAAAATAATTCGTGAAAATGCATGAAAAAAGTGTTAATTCACTCACTATTGAAATAAATAGGAAATAAATTAAATTCAATTGAATTGACAAATGATTTGTGAGAAATATCTATCAAATGAAACCAAACTATATATAAATTGTAATCAGAATTGGATATCAATGAATACAATAGTATGAATACAATTGAGTGCAGACTTACATAAGTTATACAACAATTAATGGCTTTTAAATAATTGTTTAAAACAATTGACAATTGAATGTATGAATGAATGAATGGTTTTGTAGTTTTCAGTGCTTTTTATACAAATCGCAAATTGAAGGACAATTTTGAGACACTTTTTTACGCATACATGCAATGAATGCGTGAAATGTCTTACGATTTCGTCCATAAGTGATGACTCGATATAACAAATCATACGAAACGCCAGTCTATGGAGTGATTGCTGTCTAATGGCAGACATTATTACTGGAAATGTATATTCAATACAGTATTGCAATGCAATCATTGGATTTCATTGAAAAGCATGTGTTTTTCTGAACTCTGTTTTCCAATGAAAAGCTAATTTACAGTGAATTTAATGTTTGAAAACTTTGTGAATGACTTCTTCGCCCGATTATAGCCATCCATTGGACTTCGAGACACGCAAAGAGCGCACGACATCCCGGAGCCGATCCAGAGGTGAGACCATCGCGAGGGTTGGCGTCGCTGTCTTCGGTGGAGTTGGCGTCGGATTACTGGCCATTAGTTTGCCGTTTGTTTGGCCGGCTTTGAGACGACAAGTGTTGCCGTATATTCCGGCCACGACTTCTCAGGTGCAGAACGTGCTGACACTCGTGCAGAGGTCGCGGCCCAAGACTGTCATCGACTTAGGCAGTGGTGACGGACGACTCGTATGTCTCGTTTATCTGCCATTTGCACATCACATGCATTACAGCTGATCTCTAAGTGATTGTATTGTGTTTTACAGGTGATTGAATGCGCGAAGATTGGCGTCCAATCGTATGGCGTTGAACTGAATCCCTGGTATTAATAGACATTGTTTTATAACTTTATTGATTGCATTTATTGTGTTATCAGTAAAACATTGTTATACTTTATTTTACACTTGATTTTAATGCAAGTTATCATAAATTATTGAAACAATTGACTCGTTGTGCGAATACATTATCATTATATCTATAAATTATTCATAAATCCCAATATTACTGATTAGCAAAAATTTATTGCAAATTATATGACATTTAACTTATTGTAACATTTTTTTATCAAAGGCTTGTCTTATACTCGAGGATCAGATCCCGACTGTTAGGCACTAATCGATTGACACGTTTTGATTGTAAAAATTTATGGAAGGTATGCGCTAATAAAATGTTTGATTGATTAAATGACTGATAAAATGAATGGCATTTTACAGATAAATGCATCAAATTATGAGAATATCATTATATTTGGTGTCGAAGATATGATGAGTTCTCTCGAGAATAAAATCCAAAACGATTGCAATAAAAGTGGAAATTCAGTGAAAGTGATCGCCTGTCGGTTCCCATTACCCAATTGGCAACCATTAGAATCTGTTGGCACCGGTATTGACACGGTTTGGCTCTACCGATACCCGACCTCAACCCACCCCAACCGATACCCCTTTGCAATGTAAGTCATTCTAGTCCTCACGTACTGTCAATGTATTCGTGACACAACTCAAGCAATAAAATGCATTTTCCTGTTATCACCTGATTATTCAACACTTTTTTATCGCACTATACATTACATACTGTATATTCTGTGACTACTGAAAACCTTAATATAATTTATTGGTTGGATATATATTTGAATTGGCATTAAATGAAGGGTTTATTAGAATATTAAAGCACTTTAAATAAGTTAATAACAGATAATATTTGATAAAATTAACAATAAAATCAACGCTTAAAATAGTTTATCACTTATAATAGTTTTGCTCTTTTTGTAAACCATATCATTGATAAGATTTGTATCAAATGAATGTTCGTTTTAACTACAATTGAGTGAAAATTGTAGTTTATTGATCACTCAGTAGATCCATGACTGAGGCGTTATAGAGTTAAATGAAGTTAATTTGTGCTATACTTGAAGGCATTGTGAGATTTCTTTTGAAAGGCATCTTTGAAGGCACTTAGTCTTTGAGTTGTTCCAAATCATACCATTCTCTCATGGCTTGAAAATTGTCTGCAAATGTTTGAGTCAATTCAATGTTCGTTATTCCTATGATTTTGGACTTTTTCTTAAACAGATTGGTAGAAGTGGTCCGCGAATAGATCACTATCTCTATTCCTCTCCATTTAGGATCCAATTGGAAACTAGTTATAGAAAATATATAATTAATTGATTGTTTGAGATATCATTGCTTTGGTTTACCTTTCATTATATATGGGATTACATGTATTTCTTTTGGTAACTGTCTTCAGACTATTGTCACGAAATGTTCGCGAAATTTTATCCGGAGTACCGAATACCTTGACGTATGGATCCGGCATTTTATCACCAATTTTGGACAAATTTCTATATTGATATGAATTGTTGCTAATATTAATACCAGGAGTAACTTATAATGTATTTGTAATGGTTGCGAAGTCAATACATACTCTACTTTATGTATAGTAAGAATTAATTTATTATTTATTTCTGATCTTCCGATTGTGATTTGGATTCTGGGATATTCAGCGTATTCATCGACATCTCCTATATTTGCCGCACTTTGAGATCTATATTTAAAGTAGTTTTTGTCATATTCTGATTATGGCATCAATTGATTCAATGAGTTTCTACGAGACCTACCCATTAGTCTTTACGTGATTATGCTTTCTATCGGTTTGTGATTTTTCCATGAAATTTCCTTTCAAAGCACCGCTCGTATCGATGATTGGCTGAACTGTCCCTTTGATCATATCCTATACGAGACCTACCCATTAGTCTTTACGTGATTATGCTTTCTATCGGTTTGTGATTTTTCCATGAAATTTCCTTTCAAAGCACCGCTCGTATCGATGATTGGCTGAACTGTCCCTTTGATCATATCCTCCAGAGTAGGAACTCTTGATTCTTCACTTTCTTCAATAGTGTCTTCGACCACAACTGATGGCATTTGTTCGGGTTTTTGAGATTTCAATATTCTAATGATTATATTGACGTTGAGCTCAGAGTTAGATCCCCTGCCCTTAATGGGAAGCGGTTGACTGAATGATAAGTTGTCGCACGAAATTATATGTTGGAGTTTCGCCTTAGCTGTGCCTAAATCTCTATTTGTTTTGCTATCGATTATATCGAAAGTGATTTCTAACTCTTGATTGAGATTATCGACGAGAAAAGTGAACGACTCCTCCCAAATAGGATTAGCAGTACTTCTTTGGACAATACTTTGTCTCTTTTGTTTGTCAATCGTTATAAGACAGTAAGGGTCGGGCTCTCCGGCCGTTTTGCTGATGACCGCCAAATTGTGTGCGCCGTCTAAATAGACTAATATAGCGGCCACTGAACCAATTGGTTGCGCCTCACCGTCCACTTTATCGGCGCTATCATGAGATGGGTATTTGGTTTTGATTGCTTTGCTTTCTTCTATGGACTCATTGAGAGTTTGCATGGAATCCGATAATGAAAACCATGTGGTTCTCAGATGTATGGCACCCGTTGTTATGTCTTTTAACCGAAGCCACGATTCGCCCATCCCTTCCATTGAGATTGTTTTGAGTGAGAGATAGGTTCGGCCCAAGAAGTCATCTTTGCTTCCCTGGTCCTCATCCATCACTTCTATCTCCACGTTCTGGTCGTGTAAGTGATGGACCACTGCTTCGCAGATGTAATTCCACTTTGGATTCACTGTATTGTAAATGACTGGAGATCTGAATTCTTGACT